AGAGTCGTCTAGTTGAATAAATGGCATGTTTGGTGTTTTTTTTTTTTTCTCTTTAGAACTACCATATAGTTTACAATGCCTTTAGACCTTGTGCAATTTATAATTTGAAGGCATATGCCTATAACGAAGCATTTGTCGTTACATCTGTGTATGCATATCTCTGGGAACATGGTAAACAGCGTGTTCTACAAAATTTAATAATGGTTCACAAACAGCAAAGTAGTGAAAACTAAAGTAGCAAGATTTAGATGGGTTACGTTAAAATAAACTCAGAAAAGAGCAACAAACCAATCAACAAAATCTTAATAGCTCTCAGAAGCAAGACTGCTACTTACAGGAACCCTCAAGAGCGCAGTCAAAAGAAAGCTCAGGCAAAGGTTTAAGGAGTGAATCTTCTTCAAGTGCCGCTTTACCTCTAGGTTTGCTAGTACCTCTTGATAGCTGAGGAAAAAGAAGAGTGTTTCATTAAAAATGTATGGGTAAGAATTTATGGGCAGTTCACGTCTTAGAAACAGACATTGTCACTTTATAAATTTTCAAATCAGCACGTCAGCGTCTTGGTTGACTATGTATGAACTTGAATATGGGCTGACATCAAGAAATGCTGCCACCTTTCTACATTTCTTTAGAAAAAACCCTGGGTTTAGAGTAATGCTGTCTTTTCAGCCCAATAACTTAATTAAGTTTAAATAGTTTTATTTTGCATTTGTTAACACATAACTAGTTACATATTAAACTCTTCCTTTTAAGAAAATTGGGCAGTATTTGCAATAAAAGCATTTAAGGCTTAGGGAACTTGATTAGAGAACCACTAGAGTAAGTCTCCCACCATCAGCTTATTTTTAGACTTTAATTACAGGAACTCTGCACAGGATGTTGCTCACTGCAGTTTAAATTGCAGTGCATAGATCACAACACCTCATTTCCAACCTTTGTAAAACTTACCTTTTTGGGACGAAGAAAGTCTGAAAATCAATTATAATGAATTCTTACTCTTGAAAGAGCTAGGAGATAGAAAGATGATGCATGCACTGTATCATGCTGAGACTCACCAAACAAGCCAATTTGACATACTTCTGTAGGACAGGTGTTTCTTTGCCCTTTACTAGAAAACTAAGCCTGGAGAATTCCTTAAGCAGAGAACTTTTTCTGCTGAGAAAAAACAATAATATCCTTTTTCACTAATCTTTTTTATCTGCCAGGTGTCTAGCAAAAAAAGTTTTTTAAAAGTTGGACTCCAACATACAAATTTTTGGATCTCAGACTCTGTCCTCACACATGGCAGTGTCATTACAGAGATAAGTAAATATGCTATTGCAATCGAAGACAAAAAAAAATTTAAAAGTTCACATATAAGATACTCTGAAAGCATATTCCTTGAACTACTTAGGAATGCCTCAGAAAATGGCTCATATATGTTGCTTTATGACTTGTTGCATCTCACTGTACATACTGGAGTTCAATAAGGATCAACACATACTTTGGTGGAGCAAAAAAGTACAATACTGAGGCAAAGTGCTTCACTGTATGCTTGTTTCTCCACATCACAAATCTCAGAATTCTCATCCCTTTAGAACCACCTTTGTAGAGCGGATTGGAAAGCCATGGTGAACAGTTCCATTAATTCAGTCACATTCATTTCCAATGCTAAAGTGCTGTAAATTAGCTAATCCATTGCATACAACCAGCCTTGAGAAGGATAGTGTTTTCTGGGGATTTTTTTTGTGTTTTGTTTTTGTTTTTCAAAATCAACATTTGCTTTGTTTACATGAGAAAAACCATACTGCTTAAAGTCCGCTGGTTCTTTTCAGCTGAGACCATCAATACAGTAAGTTCCAGAACCAGAGCACAACTAACAGCTCAGCTGCTACTGAAAGTTGGAATGTAATTCAGCCAGTCCCTTAGAGGAATCTTACCTCTCCGAGGCTGGCTGGTGTAAAAGTATACTTAGTATGTACACTGCAAAGTACTGTATAACGAACTAGAAAGTACATTAAAACCCCCGAAGCTTTTATATAAAAGTAGCTTTCCATGTGTAAATATTACTTTTCTGTTTGAAATTTTGTATGTTTAATATAAAGCCCTGATAATTAAAGACATTTGAGTTTTAACTATTACATCTTTGCAGTTAAAAACCAAAAAAAAACCCACAGGCACATTGTGAAAAAGTATCTGACAAGTTAAGAATGAAAGAAATCTTCCATAACATTAATCTTTAACCAGAAAAAAACCCACCCAACCCTGTCAATTATAGAGTTATAATACAGGACAATATTGAAGTCTGTAAACTTTAATTACAAATGAACAGAATTTCATGGTATTCCCTACAGCAAGTTTGTAAGAACAGAGAACATCGCATAAGTATTTCCCATTCCCACTATTAACAGCAGCTGGTTTCTAGATTTTAATTTTAAAGAAACAAAATAACCATTTGGAACTCCTAAGAGCATTCATCCTTTTTTTTTCACCATAAGGAAGAAACTCATCAACATACAATACCCTAATTGCTGGCTTCAAAGCACAGGCATGATTGGATTATGAAATGGATAGAAGAGATACCACTATCCTGACTCAGTAACACGTGAGGCAAAAGACTTCCTGTGCACACACCCCCTCACAGCACAAAACTCTGAGTACGGAAATTAAAAATAAATAGATAAATACATAGCTTGCTTTGCTTTTCTTTTGTTGTTGTTGGTTTTTTTTTTTGTTCTCTCCTCTTGCCCCATTAGTATTCTGCAACAAAACTCATCTGGTAAATTGGTCTTTCACATCACCATCTTAAGCTTAGATTCAATTCAAATATGAGTACTTGATGGCTACAGATGATTTTTTCTAATAATTCAATGTAAAAAGTTCACACAGAGAAACTGTTCTTTTCTCATTACGTACGCAGTAGGTTAACAAGACATTTTAAAACCCAGCTAAGCAAGCAGTGAATGCATGGACTTCAAGGGAGAAAATCCACAAACTCAATAAAGTCCAAACTTTAAACGTGTTCTTGCAGTGTGAATAAGAAATGTTAAAAAAGAAATCACTTCAAATATTTGATTATCACATCAACCACACAAGTAATAATTACTTTTTCCTAATGTCTTATTGCTGAATTGTTTCAAGGAATATTGAACATCTCATTCTTCATAATGTTGCGTGACAATCTTTTTTAAACCATTCACCAGGATGTCAGCCTAACATACTGTCATTACCGTGACACCTTCTAGTTACCTTACTGCTCATTTTCCTTCTGTATTTTACTGAATATGATGAGAAAGTGACTTTTTCTGCAATGCTTCTACTTACAGTTTCAAAGCACATCAGACGTTCTATACAAGCAAAAATTTAAGATGAATCTTCTGAAAAGCAGAATCTGTCAAAGCACTGAACAAACACATGCACAGCTTTAGTTCAGACCAATTACTCTGTCTCAGCTTCCATCAGAGTTTAGCACCTCAAGTTTTATAAATCAATACAAGCTGAATTCCACAACACATTTTTTTAATATAAAAAAATACCAAAGGCCTGCCCTGAACTTCACCACACTCATTTCTAAAACACACAGCAGTGGTTTGATGGCCTAGAGATATGGCTGGTGTCAGAGGATAACACTGCTAGCCAGGTTTAAGACTTGCAGTCCATCTGAAGATACATTAGATTACACACACATGCTTCAGGTCTGCTAAATTTAATCAGGATTCTTCTTCAGATCAATTCAAGGAGGACAATGGTTAATTCTGTATTACTTAAATAGATTGGTTTCCTAAAACATGGAAGGACAGCACAAGGATATTTTGTAAAGAGGGAAAAACTTAATGTAGATGTTAACAGAATAACATTCATCAGAAACACATACTGCACAGCTAAGAGAACACACATCTATGTATCTGTAAGAGAAATCTGTGAAACCCACAGAACTACTTACCATGACAAAACCTGGTTGTTTAACGCAGAGAACTGTATTGGGGATCAAATACTAGAAAGATCATCCACCAGGAATAACTATTTCCACATAATTAAAAGGCATCCAAATGGTGTCTCCTACAACATGTACAGACAGTGCACCTGTGACTTCTGTGCCCAGACAATCTAATCCACACTAGCAGAAATGTCCTACTTAATGCCTGCTCTGAAATTATCCCTGGCTTTGTCCTTGCCCTTTTTCCCCCTCTTTTTTTTTTAAATTTTATTTTACTGTACTAAAAGTGAGAATCTGCTAAAAACCTTCCTGAAGACACATTTAAAGGCATCTAGAGTTGCTTCATAAAGCAAGCCTGCTACTTAAAACTCCTAAGCAACTTAATTTTTAAACGACCAGCTTTCTCAACAGAGGGGTCAGCAAAAAAAAACCAACCAAAAACAAACAATGGAGAAAAGATATATTTAAAAACAGACTGTAGGGACTCTAATTGGCTTCTGAGTTGAATTCCTCAACACAGAGTGCTGAGGACAGTGTATTTCTCTTGACAAAACATAAAATACTCAATATTTTATTTAAGTCTTCCCAGCTGTCTATGTTCCTGACACAGATTCACACACAAGAGAAGGTACAACAGAAGAGTACTTTATGATGAACTGCTGCTCATGTATCCCAACTTCTGCATATACATTTCCACCAAATGGGAGAGCATTTCTTACACCCAAGGTGAGTGTTCTGTGCCATGCAGCACAGAATTTTGTAAGACAGTCTATCACTGCTCTCCACAGAACTGTGTACACCTAGAGACATCTCAGCCACCACCACCAAGAGAAGGATAAAAATTGCCACTAGCTGCCCCCACCATTTATCAGGGTACCTGCTATTTATATACTAAATGATATACATTCTTGCCCTTACCAGAAAAAGCTAACAATTTCCCACCACAGGTGTCTGAGTCCTAACTTCTCTATGACCAGGGAAGAGGTGCTCAACTAGTCAAGATTTCAAGATATAAACTACAATTGCTTTGTCAACTCAGGAGGCTGCATCCTAAAAAGACGGTAGAGTATGAAAAAGACGGACACAATTAAGGTTTAAAGTATTTATTTATATTCAATTTTTTTTAATCTAATAGTTTACAGCTTTACCCAGTAATATACTGTTTACTCTTCACCATAGGTACACAGTGAGCTCATAAAAAATGCCTTTGCAAATATAGTTAGTATTTGTTCTTCTTTCCGTAATAATTAAAATAGGTTTCCTACAATTCCATTCAGCTGTTTCAGCTGTTGAATCATGTTGTTCTCATTAGACCACCTCTTCTTCTTTATTCAATTCTTCTTTAGCTTCCACATCTGCCACTTCAGGGTTACTAGAAGCAGCATCCTTAGCTGAGAGCTTTTTCATTTTGATGTTTGGCAGTTTCCTCAGATCACCATCCCATTCTCTTAAAGAAAAAAACAGAAGAATTGAAAAACAATTATGAAGAGAAATAGAAGGAATGGAGGAATGGCAAAGTTAATTCACCTTTTCTCAGAAGATGCTAACTCAAGTGAGGCCACTTTTCTCAATTACTCAGCCCTACTGCAGCACGAATAAGCACCAACATTTTCACCTATCTTGTACACTACAGGAGCTCTAATTTCTCTGTTAAGAATTGAGTACTTTCAGATTTGACATTCTGAACAAAAAATGTACGATTCACCTTATTCCCACAGATTATTTGTATCCTCAGTTACTTTAGGCCACCTGCTTTTAGGTTTGACACCAAACTCCCAGTCTTGTAAGCAACCGAAAAGCAGTTTGGAAGAGCTTCTTCATCTGGATGCTCCATTTGCAGAGCTAATATCACATGTACATTATGATTTATGGTAACTGTTAACATCTTCTATGACTGACTTCAAGGGGACACAAAATGTTACAAACATTAATTCACATAGTAAGTATATTATTTCAAAAGGCTGCATGAAGAAGGAAGTTTCATTTACACATCACAAATAAATTCCAGTAGTCAATTAATAGAACACTTTCTTGATTATAGTAAATGCACCTATAACTATGACTTCTGGCTACATACCACCCCTAGGAGTTAGTGGTATAGCATTCCTTGCAAAATAAGCATTTTTGTCGTCTTTTTTTTTTTTTCTCTCCGTTAAAGTATCTCATTTGATAGAGCTGTCAGCAAGAAGGTTCATTCAGTCCATTATCCGGGCACACTGGCTTGTGGCCCAGATAAGCCAGCTGCAAAACCAAGTTTTACAGCTCCCAAATCTTTTAACTAGATGTAAGTTGTCAATTCGCTTCAGATTTTCAGTTAGTATACACACACAAACACTACTGTACTACACCCACACTTGGATCCTAGAAAACATGACTAAGAACTTAGCGCTGCTTTAGTTACTTAATGGTAAATTCTGACTATAAATAACTTAGGTCACTATGTTATATGACTACAATTACCATCTGAAATCTCATTTCAGGTAAGAAAATGGTGTAATTCCATTTATCAACAAGTCTACGTCTTCATCCTTAAACACTAATAGTAAATACTAATCCTTTTTGTGTAAATCAGTGAAAAGGTGAGGTGAGGATTTTAGTTAAAGAAAAAATATTCTCTAAGAATATTGAGAAAAAGATACTTAAGTTACAGAAATAGAATTCTAACTGTTGAAGCTTTCTAACCCTTCCAGTGTTTTAACAATCAACTGTCACCAGTGTTTAGCTTTTAAGAGCTAAGAAATGCCAAAGCAGCACCATACCTAGTCTGCTTTTTCAAATGAGAAATTCTTTGACAGTTTTACATAATTTTTTTTTAAAAAAAGGCATACAACATGTCAAATTCAGAAACGCTGCTTTGCATAAACAGATTAGCAGTAATAATAAAAAGAACTTACCTGAAAAATTTAAGATGCTTTCTGTTCATAATGTCTGGGATCTCTAATGGGAATGAAATTAAATTCTATTAGATGTGTTACATTATGCAAGCGAGTCTCATTTCAAAGAAAGAAATGTGAGCTACAGAGCTGAACATACTATTTCAGAGATTAAAAAGCAAAAAAATGAGAATGAGGATTCATATTAGAAAGTTTATAGAGAAATGTATAAACAGGAAGACCTCTCACTGCTGAATAAAACAAAGCGAACTTACACACATGAACTGTTCCAGAACTCAAAAGTACCAGCTACTGACAAGCCAATCCTGACAAATCATAAAAAGAGGGTGTTTCATTTTATCTTAACTGAAACAGCCGAGAAATAGCAAAATTTTAAGCACTTAAAGTTTCCCTTTAAATAAAGTCCAGTGAAGAAACTAGGAAAATAATTAATTTATTATTTGTTTCAAAAGCGTAACTGAGATCCTCAACCACAATCAAGGTCTGGTTATACTAGTTTTTTAACAGACATTCACTCACCCAGAACAAAGACAATTCTGTTCTGCAGAACTTACTATAAATAGGCACAACAGATAGAAGTTAAAATAAGAATGCTTACTTTCAAAGCTGACCTTTAATGGAAACCAAAGTTTCCACTGTTACATACCTCTTCTATAAACCACCCAATACTGGGAAATTAGAATTCTGTGGTTGCTGAATGCCTGTTAAATACTGCAGTAAATGCAACATGATATTTACATGGACTGTTGGCACATGTCTCCTCTCATGAGGTGATGTTCCTCTGGGTTGAACAGGAACAAACATCAATAGTTTTGATGACTGAAAGTTTTCAGTCTTCCACACTAACAGAAATAAGTGACACATACTCATAACAATCTTTATTATCTTTGGTAGTGAAAAAGAAGGCAAACATCTTGTACAGAGACCTAATGTAGATATATTGAGGGAGCAAGGAAGTGACAAGCTGCTGCTAACAAAACTCAACAACCTCACAGATAGACAGAATTTTCTCTGTATAGTTACTGTTTTTTTTTAAAAAAAAAGACTAAAAATTATTATACTTTTGTATATCTACTGCTTTTGTAAACAGCCAGTAAAGAATTACTTTTTCATTTACATATATTTCATATATATATACACACACATAAAGCATGAAATTTTAGGAGACCTTCCTAAATGTGAACAGTTCATATCATGTAGTCTCTTCATAGCAAATGCACACGCATACAAGAAATAACTGAGTTCAAGAATAGGAAGAAAAAACCCAACAAATACTAAGTCAGTTATAAAAGCTCCACTCACTACAGTTTCCAGGGATAATAATGAGCTAGAGCATAAAAGCACAGTTTCCAGCTGATTTCCATTTATCCCCAATCTCTAATTACAGTATTTAGTAGCAACTATTTTCTCTGAATGAATACTGTCCTAGACAGAGAGCAAAACCTGCAGCAGCTGTGATAACAAATAATGAATGATTTGAGAGTGTATTTAATATGTGAAGTTGCACCATGCTCTCTGAATACTTTACTTACTAATACTATAATAACCTCAAATTTTGCTTACAATATTTCTGGATTCTTCTTTATTTTTATGTTGTGCTTGTGCATTTGACATCTTTCTATCTAGTCCTACTGCTTTTTTTCTGATAGCTTTCCACAAAGCAGTAAGGAAAAAAGGAAGAACTAAAATTTAAAAGCAAAACCAAAAAGGAGATTTTATACAACTGAGCTATTTGATGACATTCATAGTATCTATTCTTCCATGACTTTTTTTTTCTCCCCTTCTAAGAAACCAAAGATTATGCACAAAGTCATACAGATTAACTCCTCTGCCACTGCAGCCTGTGAAAGTACTAGCACTGGCAAAATTTTAAAGCCATTCACTTTTCTTATTGGTACAATATAAATTGGGAAAAAGGGGAACATGGTACACAACCAGATTATTGCTGCTTCCCTTCAGCCTAGATCCAGCTATCAAACTTTCAGTCTTTTATTTCTCTTTCTCACATGTAGCTTGTATCTGTGTACTGCCTCCAGAAAATACTTTCAAAAAGAGTTTAGGTATTTCCTTAAAGAATACTATGCACCTTAAGAAGAAATTTTCAGCTCAAAAGCTTATGCTGTGGTTTTCACACGAGTGCACCTCAGAGGATTTATTACCTAATTTGCTGGCACAGATGGCTACCACAAAGGAAGATGAATAGTAATAAAAAAATTCAACAACAATATCTGAGATTATGATTTTACACAAACTTGTGATAATGACCAAGGTAAATGTTTAAAAACTCACAAGTATTTTCAACTAGGATCTTATCTACAAGATTTTAAATTTTAAATCTTCAGCGTTTTTGGGAATTTTTGATTATTAAGAGTTTAAGTGTTAGGGTCTTCACACACACAGACCATTTACACTGCCTCCACCACCATTCTCCAGTAAGTCGAAGAAAGGAGTATAACTCCTCTGTTCCAGAAGAACAAGGGGAAAAAATGTGGTTTTCTACTTGTGGATTACCATTTATGTGTGTAGAATAGAGTCTGTAGGGTAGATGTGTGACAATAGCTCCCAATTTCTTCTTGGAATACCTAATTTTAATAGGAAGACTCCAGAAATATCCAAATTTTGGAAATACATCAGTACTACAACTTCTGCTGCAATCATTCTCCTACATGAAATACATCTCAACCTTTGTGGAATGAAAGGTCTCTTTCTGAAGATGTTTTAGCCCCACAAGTTCAGAGGCTTTGGTTCTCTTCAAGTTCATGAACCCTAAAGCCCACTCTCGCATGATACGAAACTTGCTGAAGTTCCTCATGACACTGATCCACCTCAGCGGAAAGGGGCAAGCCAGGCCAGGGGTTTATCACTAACAGGAAGTTTGTGTATTATCAAAAGAATATTAGAGAAAGCTGTGTATAAAGATTTCATTGGCATAAGTCCAGAAAACAAAGCCCACCTAAAAAAAGCAATTAATTTGTAGAGAAAGTGATGCTGGTTATTCCCCAAAGGAGCAAATAATGTCTTCATTCTAATGCATGTCAAAACATGCACACCCACTGAAATGGCCTTTTAAGGTAAAAAATACTTTGTATATAATGAAGGTCCAAGCAAGCTGCTGAACAGAACTTGTATTTGAGACAGATGCATTAAATCTCACTTTAGTTTCAAAAATGTTATATACGCCTGCACTAAAGAGACAATAAAAGCAAAGATGCACAAATGCAAAGTAATAAAGCAGAAATATGATTCAGATCTCCATCTTTTTTCTCCTTTTCTTCACCCTGCCCCTCCTCCCAAACTCCTCTGCAAGTCATGAATACCTAGCACTTAGTTAAATCCTTTAAAGAGAAAAATAAAAATAATGCCTAGAAATCTCATTTAGATTCCAGCCTTGTGAGCAGGAGGAGGAGGTGTGACCACGGGGTTGTTTCTAATGCTTTTACATACCCATTCCATAGCCTTCATAGAGCTGCCTTTCACGTTCTATGGTCTGCTTGATGACAGTTTCCCGTGAACCGTGCTGTCTTCCTTGTCTACCTTTAATACTGTTTTGTAATTCAATCTGCTCCAATTCAGCATTGAATCGACACATATAACTGAAAGAAAGAAAATGCATTTATGCTAGATGCAGTCAAGCAAAACTTCTGCAAAACAGAATTACTTTGATAATCTAAGAAGCTATTTTATTAATTGCATTTATTTTCTAAATTATTCAGAAATGTTTCTTAGATTTAAGCTATTACTTTAATCTTCAAAGTAGAAGCTCCATTTAGAACTTCATTTGAATCATCTGAGGCTTCCAGAAGGATTACGGTTTTTATTTGCTTTTAAACTATGTTTTTTAAACATCATGCTTTAAACATAAACTCTGCTTTTTAAACATATGCATAAAACAAAACACCCCCATTATTATAATTCACCTGCTCTGGAAGACCTGTGTTAAATCTAAGTATTCCCAACTTTGAATTGATGAATTGCACCACCTCGATAATTATTTAATAAATAACTAACATAAAGTTCTTCTTTGGCATGTGTTCTACACCATCTCACAAACATCCAACCCAAATCCAAAAAGTAAGCTTTTATTCCCTTTGCAGTATCGCTAGTGTTGATCAGCAGCTCACAGGTTTCATGAACAGCCTGAGAAATATGTCAGAGCTTCTGACAGAAAACTGATGTAGTACATCTGTATAAGAATACATATGTATTATGTTTTGTAGCTAGCAGGTGAAAAATGGTAACAAGCCACAGGTACATACATCCAGCAGCACAGAAACAACTGAGTTTCTTCTTAGCAGATTCAATTTTGATGTTTTCTAAAACAGTTTTCTAAAAACTAATGCACCTGAATACTGTTTAATCTTCTCAGCAAAAAAAATTAAAGGAGTAAGTAGATGAAATCTGTGCATTTAAGTGTTGCTAAATAACCCAACTAGCAAATTCATGCAATTACTGCTATCCAAATCATTTACAGTCCTCCACACAACACGAAAGCAGAATATACTTATATAATAAAAGAACAAACCACACCACGACTTCCTGCAGTTATTCTAGTGTGAATATATATATCTTTCAATATATAATTAACCTCAGTTGCAACAAAATCAACTACTTGATATTATTAATAGTAATACATAAAACGTCCTCCTCTGAGTCATCACCACTTTACAGATCTTATTTATGAACATTATTTTAAAAGACAAATCGAGCTTTTTCATCCTGTTTTTAGCACCAGTCTTACTTTTCAATTAGTTCGCCAGCTTCCTTCTTTGTGTACTCAATTTTATCCGGGTCAAGGTGACTTTGAAACCATTGCAATTTTTCTCCTGTAAGAATAAACTTTAAATTAATGATTACATCATTACTGTAGCACCAACACAGATTAAAGTTTTTCAGAGTTTTTGAAATAACCCTCCCATTTTTCAAGATTTTGAATGGCACCATAGACTTATTGACATTGTGTGTACAAGGTATGAAAGTAGCTGTAATGTAAACATCCTTTCAGGTGAATTTTACAGCTTCCTTATGGAAAAAAGACATTACACTTTGCTTTACTAGAAATCAGTGTTTAAAATGAAAACTTAGGAAGGCCCCAAGGGGAAAAAACTAACAAAATGACTGACCAAGAGTTCTGATCATCACAATTTTTAAACAGATTAAACTGAAAAGGTGCAGTGTCAATCATAAGAAAGAGAAAAATATTCCAGGTTGTGTCTCAAAGTTTCGAATTTACTTGCTAGCAGAATGCGTCTGTTAACCCACATATATCATCCTTTTCTACAAGCAATTAAAGAAAGCATGGAGACAAGTACAATAAATACATGTACAGATGTACAAAACAGATGTTTGGTCTATATTGCCCTGTTGTCATGTATACTGACTAAAGATTAGGCTATACTCAGCCCCAACTTAAATCCTGTATACATTATTGAGTGAACAGGCCAGGCATTTTGGCATTTCAAAATCCATTTTAAGATTACAGAGTCAGATTATAGAGGAAGAAACTCTAATTGGAGTATCTATAAAGTTGGTAAAACGTCTATACAAAGTTGAATACTGTATTCAGTAACAGAAGTTTCTGCTCACCAATGATACTCAAACGCAAAGCTTTGTCAGTCTTCAACCTAGCAGAGAAAAAACAGATACGTTAGCCAAGATATATATATGAGTACAATACAAATAATTAAGTCATGGTTTCTCCAAAAATAGTTTTTTTGGAGTCACAATGCAAGTCAAGGTCAAATTTCAAATAGAAATACTGGCCAAATTCAGGACAATGTAAAACTTACTCTGCTTCACCTAAAAATTCTACTTTTTGGTAAAACTACATTTGTCCAGTTTACCTATTAAGTCAAACAGTTTCTTGGGAGAAATTAGGACACAGCACTTTTCTTAGAGCACAGCAAAAGGAATTTCACGGAAGACCTGCACTGTAATAATTTCATTAAGTATTTCTAATATTCTGCTGGTATGTCTAATGAGTTTGGAGTTCAAGAACAAAATGTTTTCAATGCACTGCATCCTTGCAAATCAAGCATACAACGTGAAAAGTACCATTCTGGTATCTAATAAACTTCTAATAATAAAAGGTTGTGCTTAGTGACCAGTAAAAGTTAATGTGCTGAGAAACCAGAATTAACAACTCCATAAAAAAAGATGAAAAAAATCCATCTCAAAGTGTTTTTAAATCCACTTCAATCTCTGGTGGGATACCTGAAGTCTTCTGTAGTCTATGGGATGTGTGTATTCAATTCAGTTTAGGATTAAATCCCATCCTATTGAGCAGTTCTCAGAGAACATGAGTTTTCTAACAGGTAATACAGTGCCTCGTGCGTTTTTGTCCTCAGATTCAGTCTACATCAACGAATCTAACTGAATGTCGCTTTATTTCCAGAAAGGAAAATAGCACATTGTTGGGATAAGTATGAAATTCGTCACTGGAAAAAATACCTTTGCTATGCGTGTTCAGTGTATGTACACAAGGACCTCTAATAAAACTGTTGGCTTTTTTTATTATTTAATAAGAAATTTGACAAAGGATAAAGGAAATCATAAAGGAAAGAATTGACAAAGAACAAATAAAGCCAAAATTCAATACAGTTCAAAGCTAATGTGCTCCTTCATTAAATTCATTGTACTCTACAGAATTTAAGGAGCATTTTAGAGTTAACTGAGGTAACTCAGAGCACAGAAGTCTCTCACCTGTCACAAAAATTAGGATCAAAAGAGAAAGCCCTACTTTTCAGAGGCAAACACATTTGTGCCACTTGGCAACAAACCTACATTATTAAAATAAAGATAAGCTTTTTCAAGAAGTATTTCATCCTCTGAAGACCATCTAAAAGATACATAAGAATAAATGCACAGCATGTGTGAGCTGCTAAGAATTCCACTAATGCATTCAAAAAGCTTTTTTACTTCTATAGATATCCCAGCATGCAGTATAAGTATTTTTCATACAATAGTCTATAGAGGTCAGGTGTGGGGTTAGAGTTCTGAGGAAAAAATTATGGTAGGTAGCCTACAGAGAGCTTCCATCAGGAAGTTCTGAACAGTAACAGGGCCAAGAAAAGGACACACTCCATGCACTGGAACTCCACAACAGCAGCAGTCCCTGCTGTAAACCCTGCACAGCAACACAGCCAGCCCAGCACATCTGCAAAGCGTTGCCATGGAGAAAACTACGATGCCACCTAGAAATGCTGCCTGATTAGAATCATAAATTATGTCCTCTACATATGCTTTAAAACACTACAAATTACTATTTGCCCCTGCAAGGGTCACAAGACTGTTTATTTAGCAAGGCAATGAAGTATATAACCAGGATTTATTTTCTGGAAAAAGAACCTTCAGTCTCTAGGTGTACACAGCTTCTTTCAGTAAGAGAAATACTGAATGACAGGATCAGATGTTGCCTTACTGTACTTTTCATAAACGCCTCACCTCAGTGACTGTTAGAAGATAATGCTATTAGCAGACAGAATAATGAAATAAGGTAAGTCAAAGAAAGTTCCTCTTATCTTCTTCCACACAATGAGTAACATCTTTTGCTCAAGGGAAAGAAAGGGTGAGGACAGGGATACAGTCTCCTGGCAGTCTGTTGCTTCTTAATGATCCCTGTTTATTTAGCAAGGCAATGAAGTATATAACCAGGATTTATTTTCTGGAAAAAGAACCTTCAGTCTCTAGGTGTACACAGCTTCTTTCAGTAAGAGAAATACTGAATGACAGGATCAGATGTTGCCTTACTGTACTTTTCATAAACGCCTCACCTCAGTGACTGTTAGAAGATAATGCTATTAGCAGACAGAATAATGAAATAAGGTAAGTCAAAGAAAGTTCCTCTTATCTTCTTCCACACAATGAGTAACATCTTTTGCTCAAGGGAAAGAAAGGGTGAGGACAGGGATACAGTCTCCTGGCAGTCTGTTGCTTCTTAATGATTTTCTCCTCTACCTGCCTCCCAAAAATCCTCTGCTGACACAGTGATTATTGACACAGATGAATAGTGGTTTTCCTGATGTTTACTAGATACTTAAAAGGTTAAAATGCTCCATCAGCACCTTTTTATCTCAGATATTATATTTGACTGTTCTACTCTAAATACTAACAATGAATAATTATTTGGCGAGTCAGTTTACCAATTCAGTATTTTCCCCCATAATATCCACATGTACAAATGCTATCTATGGCTCTGAGAACTAAGATAGACCCTTTCATTAAAAAAATAATTCATGGTTGACAGGACATATTTCCTTGTTTTTTGTCTCAGGTTGCTAAATACCTTCCATATTTCTCCCTACATATTTCTGGTTTTGTTAGCTTGCACAACAATCAATGGTTTGGTTAAGCATTTTAGGATACTTCCATATGAAAATCCTTCTATAAGAATTAAAAATTCTGATTTTTTTGCAGTTCATTTTTTTTATTTCTGTAAGCAAACAAAGTAATTTTAAGAGCTAACATTTTTTCAGTTTCACATAAAGAACCTGCAAGAGTACATCTCAACACAACACTGCTGCAAACAGCACAAGTAGAAGCATGGTGGCTCAAGGGAGATTAAGAGGTTAGATAACAGAAAAGCTAAGGAAAAACAAACAAACAAACAAAGAGCTCCACAAGGAGATATTTTAAACCTACTGCTTACTCCTAAGGGGTCACTTCATGCTGGATCAAGAAACACTGTAAAAACTCAGCTCTCATATCTCAGAGCGTGACAGTACTGGACTAGTATAGTTGTAATGAAAAAGCATAGACTCCTAAAACATCTACAGTATATGCACAATAGAAAGGGTATATTAATAATCATAGAAGGGTAATAATAATAATGGAAAGGTATACTCAGGGGGTGAAGACAGTGCTACATCATCTTTAGCTAACAAAACCAGAGAAAGATTTCAGCACTTGCAAACAAGCCATCATTGCTGTTGATAGACCACTACTAGGAGAAGTTCCAGAAATATCCCATTATGGTCTGGTTTCCTAAAGTATAGAAAAAGCAGTGTTCTACTGGCGCCAGTGAACCAGCTATTGTTGTCTTATAAAAACATCTTTGTAATTATTCAACAGAGCAAACAAGGTGCCTACAGGAATAAGAATTCACATGTAGATTAAGAGAGAATAAACTGGTAGTAATATACTGGAACTCGTTGCTGCTCAGTAGACCTTGAAGAGAACTGAGAAAAGGGATGCAGGCAAGAAAAAGGTGCAATTCAAGTGAACAAGACAAGTTACAATTGTAGTCAATTTTCTAAAACCAACTGGTCTGCCTCCTCTTATTATGGTCAAGATTGGTCTTTTCTAGTGCAGGCAGCATCTGGACAATAAGCTTATTATTACTGTCATATCACATTGAGAATGTTTGCATTGAAGAGTACCTGGACAATGAAGCCTGTAAAACAGTTCTGCAACTTAGAGTAGAATTTCTGCTTCCTTCTTCCCAGTGCTGCATTGCATACTAAAATTCCTTGTGGGTAATGTCTTCCCTTTTTTATCTATCTTGTTTGTACAAAAGATACTCAAATATGCATTTCATACCTGAATGCAATTTCCTTTCCTGTTTAACATAAACAGGAATGTTCACAGCAGGTATTTTTCTTCCTCCATCATATAGAAAATTGAAAAAGTCAACAGAAGACTAAACTGTCTTTAGTCCTGAATCCTGTCTCCAGCCAAGTATCAAAGGAAAAAAAACAACAAACCAAAACAAACCCACACCCAAAACCAAGGCAAACATTTACTGATAATTCTATGCAAGACATTCTCACCTTTCCGTATGTCCTGGTCTGAGGTAAAACATGCCACTCAAGGGCTTTCTACACCCAAAGTAATACCTTTATTGAATAATAATCAACAGATAGAATGTACACCTGTTCAAAAAGTATCATTGCACAAATTTAGCCAACCACAATTAAAGCACCATCTGGCAAGTAAATACACAGTTGAATTAAAGTAACACAGATTAACCATATGAACTTTGTTGAATCATTGACTGTCTCTGACCCTTATTTTTGAAGGAAGACCAAAGAATCAGCTTTTCGATGTTGCAAAAGTATATTAGCCTGTACAGAGAAATTTTCCTCTTTGCTTAGGGCTGGTGAGATTATACTGAGAATAATGCCTCCCACTTCGAGCACTTTAAGGCGACACAGACTCAAAGAATGGTTTATGTTGGAAGGGACCTTAAAGATCGTCAAGTTCCAACCCCCCTACCATGGGCCAGGTTGCTCAAAGTCCCACCCAGCCTGGCCTTGAACACTTCCAGGGATGGGGCACCCACAACTTCTTTGGACAACCTGTTCCAGTGCCTCACCACCCTCATAGTAAAGAATTTCTTCCTAGTATCTAATCTAAATCTCCCTTCTTTCAGTTTAAAACCTTCACCCCTTGTCCCAAAACTACACAGTCCCTCCTCATCTTTCCTGATTATCAAGATAAACTGAAACCCTTAACAAGACTTTTAAAGACAATAGAGAAAGAAAGAAATCAACATTATTCATGTCTTTTGAGCTAAACTGATCTTCAAGACAAGACAGTACAGCAAATAAATCTTTCAATTGTCTATATTCTAACATAAATTACTTTTAGAACATCATAACAAAACAGATCTGAAAAGGGCAGATCTGTGAACCATGCTAGTGAAATGTTTAGGACCTAGAACTGTGTGATGTAGAGATCTGATTTACAGATAGACCATTTTGCTATCACAAAACGCTTTGTATGGTCCAGCCTGTCACATTTTTTGGTGGAACAGCTTCCCTATGCAAAATAAAGGGTTACGTCTTTTACTATCAGCCTAGAGGCCTTGCACCTAAAATAGCAAGACACCCTGAAAAAGAAAATGCAGAAATCAAGAAACAGAGCCGAAAGGAAAGGACAGTTATCTACATCCTCTAATCTTAAATTGGGTTTCTCTCTATTAAGCACTTCTGCTCTGTGAAGGCATTAGGCTTCACTGATCCCCACAAGAGTTGAGGATAAACCATCTGCTCTTTCATTGGGTTGTTTGAAGCTCACCATTTATTACTTTGCTTGGGTGCCAATATTTAATGTTTTTTCATAAGACAGTGCTTTTTTTTCCTCAGGTGACCCATGACATGTACCAAATGGCAGTCATCTTGTTTCACTTAGAAGGATTCTGCTGCCATGAATAGCTCCTTTTGCTACATTTCAGAGGAAACGAACAGGGAGCCTAATTATACTGCTATAAAGACCACTGTCTCTTAAACAGGTAGAAAATTCATTTTTTAAATAAGTTCCTTTTAAAAATTCCTTTAGGGGCTAATGCAGATAATAGACTGGTATTGTCATATGCTGGACTGTGAGTCATAATCTACTCTGGGAAGTACAGACAGAAACCTACATAGTAAAGACTTGGCAGTAGAACCAACTCTCAGATGTGCAAGTTTTGAAATTAATACATTTAGAATACAGTATGTCGGTTGGAAGGGACCTACAATGATCATCTAGTCCAACTGCCTGACCAATTCAAGGATGGCCAAAAGCTAAAGCACATTGTTAAGGGCACTGTCCAAATGCTTCTTAAACACTGACAGGCTTGGAAGACCAACCACTTCTCTAGGAAACCTCTTCCAGAGTCTGACCACACTCTCAGAAAAGAAATGCTTCCTAATGTCCAAACTAAACATCTGCATCCAGATTGTTGATAAAAACACTGAACAGAGCTGGCCCTAGAATTGAATTTGGCGACAACTGCTGAAAGAAAAGAAACTTCCAAAAACTGAAAAAATTTCATTTTTTGTCTAAACTAAGCTAAAGGGTTAAGATCATCCTAGAAAGGATATGGTGTGATACAATTGTTCACTACAAGAAAGAAGCCTAGAAAATCATTTAGAATGTCAGTCATATCTCCAGCACACTGAATGCTGGGTGCTCAAAACTACTAAGTGGCCTCTGGCTCTTAAAACAAATTTAATTCCATATTTTGCCCTGCAGACTTCACTTGGCAATGTTAGCAGCAGACGAAGAGCCTGCTGCTGCAAATGTGGTCTCAGTAGTCCAAGATACCCTGACACTGCTCTGAATACCCTTAGAGCAGTAAACCTTTCAGCTGTTCAGCAAAAAAAGCACCTGTGCTAGAATTAGCAACACCACAACTTGCGTACTATGACTTGCCAAATCTAGCTGCCTCAGTAACGAGGTCCAGTCAGTACAAAACCAGCACCTTTTCATCCCTTCTTGTGGAAAGGATGACCTAATGACTGCAATATTAATGCATTAAGCAGAGAAACAAGTGATGCATTTGGTACTCTCTTATCTGCAATGAAATAGATTTCCTTGTGCAATATCTAACATATACCTTAAAACCTTCTCCATGAAAAAAAGTAATCAAAGAGCAAGTTAAACTGGAGAATACTATTCCAGTGGGAGTTCTTTGCTTTAACTTCTTGCTGTTGCAAGAGGAACCAAAAATAGCACTCTAACAAGAAATGTCAGCACAGGTGTCTGTATCAGTATAATTCTACCCACAGAGACAATCACTAAAAGATTTGATTGAGTGTGCCATGTTGTAATAAATAATCAGTACATCACTCCTTCACTCGGTAAGTTTCCTTGTGCATGTTTTTCTTTATGGCAGTCACAGATTCGAGCACTAAGAATCAAATATCTTTTGTGATTAAGCTCTCAGAGTGACAGTTACAAAGTAAGAAGAGAGAGTTAAGGGGCAAAGTAGTCAATTTAGCACTAGGAAAATAATCTACTCTAAAAACTTACAATCAGTAGTCAGAGAGCAGAGACAAAACATGAAGCAGCAGAAAAAAATTCTTGCACATTAGGAAACTGCCCAATCCCCAAGACACGTGACTTCTAAACTCTTGCAGGAGCTCTGCTTGAGGCTACATGACACAGCTATGCTCGTAAAGGGCCCTTTTCTAGTTAGAGCAGTCTCACAAATTTCTTACGGATAAGGTTGTACATCCATCCCCAACCATAAAGTTGCACAGCCTCTGAGGAATATTTCAACGCATCAGGAAGTCCTAATTTAACATCTTCAGACATATGAATATTTGAGATCAGCTCAAATGGTCCCTCCAGCTATCAGTGTACTTTGACAGAAAATGCTTTAAGTTCTCTTTAGTAACTTCCTAAACAAACAGTCATAGCGTATCAGTTTCCAAGCTAAGACAGAATGGAAACCAAAGGCCAGTCTTCTCCAGCTATCTTTTCCCTCTGTAGAGGAGGGAAGTAAAACCTAAAACCAGAAAAACAAACTTGCAGTGGAACAGCAAGAAATCGCCAAAGAGGAGAGGAATATTCAGTTTCACTCAGAAGTCCCTCTGGAAAGGTTTCTGGGTTTTCTTTTCAGTGAACTCAGCGTTTCAACACAAAAAGCTAGACCCTAAGCAGAACTCTTATCAAATCTTGGAGTAAAGTCAAACTAGATGACAAAGCTTCATGTGAAATCACCAGCATCTTGCCTTTCAGATTATAAAAGCAACATGCTGTAATGAGAAGAAATCTAACCTGTAATGACAATACCAAAAATCAAGCAGCAGAACTATACACTTTGCATAAGCTGATTTCATGAATGAAAACCTGACAGTTCACATGGCTCAGAAGTATTAAGTTATACAGGTTTTTCTTTTACCTTAAGGTTATATCAGCATAACAGTACCCTTCCACCACCATCCTTCTCCCCTCAACCAAAAAATATCTGCTGTGATGCTATCCTTTGGTCTGTACACAGATTTTGCACAGTCAACTTACTTTTCTTTCTTTTCCTGTTTGTGTGCTTCCCTTGCAAGCTGCGCAGCTTTTCTACTGTAGGGATGGATAACTTTTTTCTCTTGCTTCCCTCCTTGGGTTTTTCGTAACTTTGGCTGAAAAGAAATACACCAATAGATTTAAGCAAAACATTAAAGGGAAGACAGGAGCACACACCATGGTTAAAACTAAAAAGGTCACGCATCAACATCTCAGAAAGCCTTTAGCTTATTGTAGCAGCTTATTTACCAGTTCCACCAGCTAGATCTTACCCTCCTTAGTAACAAACAAAGTTACTTGAACATGCACATGCTGTAAGAAAACTACTGGAACACAGAAAAGGCTGTAATAAATCTAACATAGAGACTACTTTCAAAATACCTATTTTGTAGAACCCTGCAGCTAGGAAACTACAATTACCTCTCTGTACCTTTGCAGTTAGCGTCCCCATTCAAGCTTCTACCCAACTGTTGCATCTGGGTTTCTGATGAAGGCTGTATGTTGTTTGTACACCATCAACAAAAGGGATGCTCTTGTCCCTCCCCGCAGCCCCTGAGAGTGCCCCACACCAGGCCGCAGCCAGAGGTTTTCCTACTGAACGCGTGAACGCTACTCCCACGGTTAAAAATATTTAGGCTACACATGCAAATGCAACCAATAAACGGAGACTGAAGTACACCACGTTATCTGTGCCAGCATCAGTGTTTAGGATTGCGGGAAAAAGACAAGACAAGATAAATCCAATTTATCCCGGCCGGCTGAAGAAGGCCCGAGAGGCACCGGGCCTACTCCTGTCCCACGGGCTGACCCCGCTCCTCCTCCCCGCCGCCAGCCCCCAGGCGCTCCATAGCGGCCATAGGACGCCAGCCCCTGCCGGCAAGGACCAAACGCGGCCAAAAGCCTCTCCGGGAGGACAGGAGACCACGCGGGGTCACTCGGGACCCTCCCCTCCCCACGGGAGGGAGCAGCTCATCATCCCAAGGCCGCTTTAGCGCCAGTGGCGGTCCACGCCGCCGCCTGCCGCCTTTCAGGGCAGGGCCGAGGCCTCTCCAGGGGCACCGGGGGGACAGGGTGAGGAGCCCCCGCCGCCCCCTGAGGCGGAGGCGCCGGCAGGCACCCCCCTACCCCTTCCCTCACCCCCCATGCCCGTCCCGCCACACGTACCATGGCGGCCGACGCTCCTTCCGCCACCGCGGTGCACCGGCCAAAGGGCTCCGGGCGGGCGGGGAGGGCGACGCGGCGGACGTTCCGCTGGGATGGCGGGGTCGTTCCTACCAGCTTCCCCGGCTGCAGCAGCTTCCCTCGGTGTCAGCGTGGCTGCGCTGGTTTGTTTTGTGGGGGTTTTTTTCCGAAAACAATGGGAGCAAGAGCACACCGGCGCGGGGGAGCACACAGAGCTGCTGCGGGGCCGCCTCAGAGCAGGGTTTCGGCGGGAAGTCACCACCCGGACCCGCGTCCAGCGGACGGTCTGCTGGGGCCGCGCGGCTCCGGGCACGGCGGGGAGGCGCCGTCTTTAGGCCTCCTTAGGTCTTGCTTTTCAGTGGCCGATAGCTCTTTTCTGTCAGGTTGTTTTAATTCGTTTCTATAATATCGAACGAGAAGCGCCTGGAGGTCGTCCTCCTTTGGTTTGGCCTGTGTGACTTCTCACCAGGCTTCAGAAAGGACATTGTGACCGAAAACTTTCCTGTTTGTGCCAACCCCATCGCCCCGGCTGACTGACTTTGTCTCTCCCCGTAAACCCTAACTCTCCGTCGCGCTGTGGAAATGCACGATGAAGGCTTTATTGAAGGAAGGAAGATGCAGCCATGGGCAGGCGTCCTCCCCTGGAGAGGATGCCCAGACACCCACCAGCAGCTGCATTTGTTCCAGCCCTGCCTCTGTAAAAGCACAATAAAAATCATGTTATGGTTTTAACTTATTTAATTTACTTGGTATTATTTTATTGTCAGTGTGTGAAACCGAAGTTCTATATTAAGACAGGCCATTCTCTTTCATTATGGTGATCCACCGAACCTCTGCCTACAGTATGAAAGATCTGCTTCTAAATAATTAAAAAATCACTGGCACCTCCGTGTGCTATTATTTTCACCTAATACTTAGGTATTAAGTAGTAATTTCATACTACAACTTTGTTTCACACTCCCTGAGAAGGTCGGTGAATGCAGAAGTGTAGAATAAAAGTTCTTTTTACAGTATAGTAGCGCCTCAATATTCTGATGTTTCTTACTAAGATACAACTTTCCACAGGCATAATTCATGATTTCTCTAACATCTGAATGACACTTGTGAAAGAGTCTCAGCTAAGGTGACCTTTATTATGTTAAAATATCAGTAAATTGTTCAGCTTAATGATGATTTACTTTGATGATATGACAGGCCAGGGAACGTAGTTTACAGTTCTGAGTATTGCCAGGTAACCATTGGAGACTGCTGTTCTGCAAGCTACCAGAAGCAGTCAAACATATTTGTAATATGAAAATGTATAAGACCTCCAGTATTAGAAACCTAAAAAATCTAAATGTTGAGGTGTCAGGAAAAGCATTCTTATTACTTATTTTCTGCTGCTATACCAATTGCTAAAATCTGTGGTCTGGTCTCATAGCATGGTGTGCTATTAATATTGGAAAGCCCATTCCTGTAGTAGAAGTTATTTTTTCTGAATGTCCTTCTCCATAGACCTTTTCCAGGATGTAATTTCTCTCATGCTTAAACACTTTCTAATGTTCATCACAAATGTCTCTGTCACCGATTTATGCCCAGAAGCATTGTGCCCTCTTGTGCCAGCATCATCCTTTTAGCTTAAACAGAATTTCTTTCATCCTTGTCTGTGAAAGGAATTGCAAAGGACAGTCATTTTGTTTTAAAAACTAAGACTCCAGCTTCTTCCAACTTCTTAACTTGGCAGGAAAAATAGTGGAATAGTAACTCACTGATGGAGAAGGTGTCTCACAGGAGATGACATGCTTTTTAATGGAATATGTCTACTTTCAGGAGAAAGGGTCCCAAACAGATGTGACTCCTACTAACACTGTTCTAGTAGTTCTTCTTACTATGTATGATCAGTTCTCTTTCACTTGTCTAAAAGGACATTGTGATCTCTTACTAATGCTATATGAAAATTTCATTTTTTCAATTTGGGGACCAAGTACTAAAAAGAAATACATTCATTGTAAAGATTTCCCCTAAACAGTATTTCCCCAAGTTTTTTACTAAAAAAAGAATAAGGAAACTGTGATTAGCTCAAGCAAAGTCTTTATATAGCTCGTCTTGGAACACTACCTTTTTGTGCATTTGCAATTAAACTGTTTCATAGATTTACAGAGCTGCTACAGAAGGCAGTGACAGTAGCAATTTTTTTTAATCTAATAATTTAGGATGTAGCAGTCATATACAGGAAAGTGAGCACTGCATTTTAAATAGTCCATCCGGGTCAATAGATTCAGAGTTTTGCTGTCAAACAGCACAGGAATCATAGTAGGAAACTAGGAAATAGCTCTGTTTTAATACTGTTCAAATCTACGTGGGAACTGCAACTTATGTTGAACTGAGGGATGCTGAAGGACGTCAGACAATATGGTAAAATGACAGTGACCGTGGAGTGCCACTCATGAATACAAACCAAAGAAAACATTTTGACCATGGAGTGCCACTCATGAATACAAACCAAAGATGAAAAAAGTAAATTTTAGATTCTTTTTTCATTTGGATCAACAACAACAACAAAATGTGGCTGTGTTTTTGTCTGCTAAGAAACTAACTAAAAACTCTGATGAAGAAACAGCATTAACTTAAGCCATTGCTTTTAGAAAAATATTATCCAAACTTGCACTGTGACCATGTTGTGCAGGCAGCCCTTCCTTTCTTCCTTCCCTGGCAGAATACCACAGAAAAACTACTGTGGTCTCCATCTAGTTTTTGTTCCAAAGAGATCTGCTGGGTGGGAAGCAGGGGAAGGTGTGTAGCTGGCTTTACATCTGAGCCGGGGGGGACGTGGTTAGGACACAAGGTGAAGCTGAAAGGTACTCACAGTGCAGGATTACTGAGATTCATTCTACCTAACCTTAAATTTTTAATTGGGATATTAAGAAAGAAGCGTGGGCTCTGTAGATACGTAATGGGCAGCTCCAAGGGGCTATTCAGCTGGTCTTTCGCCATTGACTATAATGAGACCCTTGGGTGATGATGCATCTAATTTGATGACCTAGTTACAAACCAAAAACTATTCAATGTAAATGCGCACTGATTTCTAGTCCAATCTTGTTCTTTAAATAGTTGCAATCTGGAAAAAAGAAATTGTTGCTTCTTAGTACTTCACTCTCCCCATCTACAAAGGATCTTTTGTAAAATATCTTGACAGCTGTGTAGAATAATTGCTGTGTAAGTTCTCCCAAGCCATGTATTTATTCAGGGCGGGGAGGGAAAACACAAGAATCTAAATTTGGCATGTTGATATCTGGATGTTAATTTGCATTTTTTTGCATTAATTTTACCAATACCATTGCAAATTCATAAATTATAATGAAGGTATACCTGGCTGTGATAGTCTTTCCCACACTGTCTTGTATCAATGAGGAAAAAAAAAAAAGGTTAACTAAGTATACATTAAATATTCTTACATCCGTGAACAGATTTGCTATTAAATTCTAGTTAGTATAAAGTATCATTAAATATTATAAAGCAGTGACTATAACAACAATACTATGTATCAGAAATTCTGACATATAAGACTTAGACTAATTGACATGTAAGAGTTAGACCAATTTCTGAATATTCTTGAAAATCTAATTTACAGTGTTATAACTGCATTAATTAGAATGGAAGTTTAAATTGTGGTTAACTTAGTTTTAATAAAATGCAAATTTTATGAGTTCAAGGGACACAAGTAAAGGTTAAAGCAATTAACAGCTGGGTTTAGAAGTGAGAAAAAAAGTAATGAGCAGGAGAAACTACATCAGTGAGGGAACAGTGAGCAGTCAGTCATAGCTTTGGCAGGATGTGCCTTAGCCTGAAATGCATCTGTAGTAGAGCTTTAGTGTAAAGACACATACAGAGTTTCTCAGCTATATTCCGTGTTTTCAATAAGACCAAGCAATACGCTAGAAATAGAAAATTGCAGTTAGGCGTGCAGTTGTTTTGTGGATTTTTTTAAGCGAATCTGTTTTACATGTGTGATTTTTGTATGTGCTTTAACCTTAATAGATGAAGGGTATAGCCACGTGATGGTAAACATAAAAAAAAATATACCACTAACTTTAAATCGTGTTGGGTTTCTTTTTTGTTGTTGCTGGTGGTGGTGGTTTTTTCTGTTGCACTTAATGCAAAATTCCTGATGAATTATATGCTCTTAGGAATGCCGGTTTCTTTCTACCTATGCAGAGTTCGGATCTGCTCACAGCAGTGAGAGTATGAATGAAACTGCTATGTTATTGTTGCAGGGACTGTTTAAATATAAATAAACTGGGTAAGAATAACAAATCACTGAAACTGATACACAATCTGGGTTATCTTTAAAACAACACTTAGGAGAATAAATCAGCTAACAATGAGCCCAGCGTTTGTCAGTTACGTCACTCACTGAGCTTCAGGAAGTCTGAGGATGCATTCACTGGTTTGAAGACATACCTTAATATTTGCTGTATCCTGATTTCATAAATGCAGTGCCATTTGCTTTGAATTTAACCAGGTTTATGCTTTGAAACTATATTCCTATAAATACAGTGCCATTGTTTAAGTCTACAGTTCCAAAATGTGAACACATGTATCTGCATAGCTGATGCAGTATTTCTGCAAATTTGACTTTAATAACTCAAAAAAGAGAGCTCTAAAGGAAAGTATGAAGGCCTAGTTTCCAAATCTGTGTAGCATATTTTCCAGCATTTGTCTGAAATTGTCTTTAAATTACTTGTATTTGGCATTTTTTTTTTACTTTTGTCACTGGTTCTGGTGTATTTTGCACTGATATCTTAATTTCTCTCCTGATAGAAAAGGTATGAGAGAAGTACCTATTTATATAATTTACTCATTCCATCTTGGTTTACAACTATTTCTAAACAATACTGCACAGGAAACTACTAACAGTATCTAATATGCTTCTTTGATTACATTTCATACTACCTATTTCTGCATTTCCTGATTTCTCTAAATGCTGCTAGTTGTTTTGGTTTTTTTTTTAATCTCTCCTTTCTGATTATATTCAAGCTCTTCCTAATGGATTCCTGTCACTAATCAGAGAAGTAGAAGACCACTTATTCCTTTTGACAGAGCCTCCTAGGCTAATGCAATTACCTAGCATAGCCA